CGTCCACATAAGGACTAAAAATGACTTGGCAGTCTCAAAGCACTTTATGAGATCTCCACCCTGCTGGGGGGGGGGGGGCGTAATGATCAGAATTAGGCACCTTCAGATGATTGTATTTTAGCATCTCTCTAATATAATTCCTGAGGTTTCTCTGCATGGGTGGCATCTCTGGGATCGCACCAGGGGTCAACTGACCAACGGGGACAGCCAACACAGGGTTGTGGGTCCCCCAGGTGTAAGAGCAGACATGTGCAACGCTACAAAGCATAATATTGCATATTACATGCCACCCGAGAAGATTTTAAAACATAATATGCATCTAAATGGGTCAGGAAACTGAGTTGCAAACACTGTCTTTTATAAAGACATAATAATTATAAGCATATAAGCATCCCTTGGCTGCACCTGTCACTCCCACGGTCCCGAGACAGTCGAGGAAGGTGGGCGTGCGTTGCTCCACAGATCTCATCCCTGTGGAAGCTGAGGATACTGCGAACTATTCACTCGATTGCAGAAGGTGGCCTGTTCCTGCCACGAGACCATGCAAGCACCACTGCAAGCCAGGGCTACAGACAAAGCTAACAAGAACATGTAAGTCTAGAAGGTTATAAAACACACAACAGGATAAAAAAGATAATGTGATAAAACCACAGTCAAAATGCCAATGGGTAGTTCTACTGGTTAAAAGAAACCAGCATAGGGCCACTCAGGTAGCAGATGTAACCCATCTATGTTGAGGGTAACCTTCAGGTAGGATGAAATCTGGACAGCGAATGTACAAAGATGGTATGCGCTGGAGCAGAGAACCTGTTAAGTAGGTCTACAAGATGAAGACTTTATCATTTTTCCTCAGGATTGTCAGTGTGGTTTGTCTAGGTGTGCAGCTTGCTGTCAGTTTCTTCTGGACCTTCAGCTTGTGCAAACTCTTTGTGGCTTGCCATGGAGCGTTTGCTCAGGGGGGTCCAGAGTGACATTAAAAGTGAGCCAGTTGGGAACTGGAAGGGGATCCATTTCGGCAAAGGCAAATAGTGTTGGCAGAGCCAATGGGTGGCGAACTGGGAAGGTACAGTTGCCCTTACGCACTATTAGGTGAAAGGGAGGACCCCCTTTGTATATCTCCAGCTCCAGGATTTGGTCCAGTAGAGGTTTTAGGGACCTACATATCAGCAATGTTTTTTTAGAAATATCAGGTAGGCTTGTTGTAATATCTCTCCTTTGAGGCGGTATGAGTGTAAGCTGCATAACACATCATGAGGGCAGTCCGCTGAGGCTGGGCCTAGGCCTAGAGTCCTGTGGACCCTATCAATGGTAACCTCAGTATCATGAGGACGATCCAGGTATCTATTAAAAATAGAAGTAATGTGAGAGCGCAGGTCGGCCTACGAGATCACCGCTGGTATAACCCATAGCCTAATGTTTTGCCTCCGGTTACGGTTTTCTAAATCATCCACAAGCAAATGGAGTTGTATGACCTGGTTGGACAGATCAGATTGTACAGATTGGTCCTCAAAATCCACCCTAGTAGGTAATTGCTGAAGGAAGGCCCATATGGTTTGTTCAGAGAACAGGGTAGATATGGAGCCGCACTGTAGTGTGTCCCTAGGGGTAGTATTCACTGTATCCAGTGAAGCAGTGCCAAGCTGTAGGCTGTCTGCAGGCCAGCGGAGACCGCGGCCGTAGCCCTGTGTAGGAGAGGCTGCTGTTATGCATAGGCCAATGTCAAAAGAGTAGGACTCTTCCAGGGCCACAGGGGATGTAACCAGTAACCACGGCAGGCAAGGAGAGAGATCACTTGGCAGCAAGAAAAGAGAAGTTGTGTGAGGCATCACGGTCATAGGAGGAAGGTGTCATGGAATCAGTAGGAAGAAAAGGACTTGGACACCGACTGTGTTCGGCCGAAGATACCACTCCATTATCCGATTGGGTGAGTGGGAAGAGTAGTCAGCAAGTTTCTCGATCACCAGCAGGGCCTGAAGTCATTGTAATGTGTAGAAGGTAGGGTGTAATTGCGCCTCAGGCCGAGAGCTCATTGATCACACGTCTTCATCTGTTCATGCCAAGACCACGCCCCCCACATCCACACATTTGACATCGCCCTGCTAGCCAACTGTACTCTGCCCTACTGATTTCTGTATCTGTACACTGTCCTGTTGACCTTCCATCCCCTGCCCCCTGACCTTTTTTTTTTTTTTACTGCACCCCCACATCTTACCGGCTAGATCAGGCCCTGTCCAGGACACTTTCACCCCCTTCCAGTCCAGGCCAATTTTCTGCTGTCAGTACTTTGAGTGACAATTACTCAGTCATGCAAAGTGAAAATCATTTTTTGCTTAGTTTTTGTTATAAAATTCTGCAAATAGATATTTTTTCTTCATAAATTTAGGCCAAAATGTATTCTGCTACATTTTTGGGGTATAAATAACCCAAAACAGTTTATATTATTTAGTTTGTATGAAAGCTATAGAGTCTACAAACTATGACATGTATATTTGAAAATTGATCAGTTGAGATCCTAAAATGCTGGATGCTGGTATGGGGTATGGCAGTGACCAGGACATTAGCATGAGGTATGGCGGTGATCAGGACACGGGTATGGCAGAAGCCAGGACACTGTTATGGGTATTGGGGTGATCAGGATGCAGGTATGTGGTATGGCAGTGATCAGGATGCTGGTATGGTATGTGGTATGGCAGCGATCAGGGCGCTGGTATGGCATATGGGGTGGTTAGGATGCTGGTATAGGGCATGGCAGTGATCAGGATGCTGGTATGGCAGTGATCAGGATGCTGGTATGGCAGTGATCAGGATGCTGTGATCAGGATGCTGGTATGGGGTATGGCGCTGATCAGGGTGCTGGTATGGCATATGGCCATGATCAGGGTGCTGGTATGGCGTATGGCGGCGATCAGGACATTGGTATGGTGTTTGGTATAGGGGTGTTTTGTGCACACTGGGAAAGGTGACAGGGCCTTCCTGCATTTTTTATTATTGTAATTGTGGGTCAGTGATCCGGGACACAGGGGCACTAAACTGGGACACTGGGGTGGCTGGCACTGCAGAGTGTGAGTGTACAAACAGCCTGACAGGCTGCTGTACACTTACACACTGCAGGATCACTTTTCTCTGCTCTCACACTGAGAGCAAAGAGAACCGATCTTTACTTTCAGTTTCTAGAGTTTACTATGTGAGTGCTGTGATTGGTCACAGCAGTCACATGGTAAAACCCCACGTGATCACCAGAACACAGTGGTAATCTGATCCAGATGACACACCAATCACTGGGCTCCTGGGTGCGCACTCTGTGAGCCATGCACAAGCCATCAAAGCAGGCTGATGTGCAGTAACGTTAGCCCGCATTGGCGCTGCTCCCAGTCTGCCGTCTATGTACAGTGAGCAGATGGTAAGTTGTTATTTGGCAAATTATTTGGCAAATGAGGTTTAATGTTGATAAATGTAAGGTTCCACATTTGGGGGCTAAGAATATGCATGCATCATACATACTAGGGGGAGTACAACTGGGGGAATCAATGGTGGAGAAGGATCACGGCGTTCTGGTAGATCACAAGCTTAATAATGACATGCAATGCCAATCTGCGGTTTCTAAAGCGAGCAAAATCCTCTCTTGTATTAAAAGAGGTATAGACTCCAGAGAGAGAGATATCATTTTACCCCTGTACAAATCATTAGTAATACCTCATCTGGAATATGCAGTTCAGCTTTGGACACCAATTCACAGAAAGGATTTAGGTAAAGTTGATCCAGGGAATATCTGATTGCCTCTTGGGGGATCAGGAAGTCTTTTCCCCCACTGGAGCAAATTGGATCATGCTTTATTGGAATTGTTTGCCTTTCTCTGGATTACCTGTGGGTATTGGATTGTGAATATAGGATTGCGTATACTTTTTTTTTTTCCCCCCTTCTGTTGGTTGAACTAGATGACATGTGTCTTTTTTCAACCAGACTAACTATGTAACTATATAAAAATATCAGCAAAAAGGGGAAAACCCCTAAAATGGATTTAGGTTTTCTCTAACAGAATATAACATTTTCAAATACTGTAATATCAGCAACAGATAACATTTACAACAGGGCACTAACATTAATAGAACTATTCTAAATAAACAGTAGAGCAAAGTTTTCCTATACAAGCTAGTTGAACAAATTCTTTGTACCATAATGTGTCATTTAATAGTCAACCACAAATTACTCACCAGGTAAGGAGGACGGTAAATAGCAGGGGATCATCCACCTTTCGAAATTCTTTAAAACTTCACAAAATGTAAAACTAGTGGAGATAAAAAAATAAGCAACATTCTCCAGGCAAAAGGCACAAGTGTAATTCTAGAAGAGAGGTGGAGGGGGGTGGCAACAGGCAGGAACACAGCACACATATCACATAACCGACTTGGAATAACATATGCTGCATTCAAATGCTGGTACAAACAATTGTTTGATTCTAGAGTTGGGTAGAATAACGTAGACAGAACCATGGCTTTTATCCATCACCGATTCTAATTACATTGAATAAAGTGATGCATAAGATTATTGTCAAATTCTTCTTCTCCCAAACAGGCAATCTACAAAAATGCTGTAAGAAAATGAAGGCAATATGGAAATGGTGTTTAAGATTCTAATACATTAACTTGGTTAATTGCCTGTGCCCCCAAGACTGATTAAATGTAACTAGCTAATATTAGAGGGAAAGAGAATGAAGGCATAAATGTGCTGGAAGACAGTCAAATTCTAAAAAGTGTTGTTAAGCACTGTCAGTTAAGTACAATTTGGCAAAGCAACTACTTATACAAAAATATATAAAGGTGTGATATGGGGGAGCCCAAGATCACAGCCAGACAACATTTTAAAAGCAAACGGTCTATTTGTCAGGGCTCCCAGGTATGACCAGAGGTGTGTGACTGAAGCAGGGAAATGCAGACCTCAGATATGTTATAAACAATATAATTTATTAACACTAACAGTACAAACATAAACGCAGTGCAATACTAAAACATAATACGGTGCAAACAAACCAAACCAAACCACCCACAGATAACAGTATATACAAGCAAGCGTCGTCAGGCAGGCCGGGTCAATATCAATTGGGCAGGTAGGTACAGGGGGAGCAAGCGGAGAATGGTCGGGGTCACAGGCCAGGTTCAGCAGGTAGCAAGCAGCATAGTACAGAGGGTCAGGCAGAGGGATGGTCCGGGTCACAAGCCAGGGATCAGAACAGGTAGCAAGCAGCATAGTACAGAGGGTCAGGCAGAGGGATGGTCCGGGTCACAAGCCAGGGATCAGAACAGGTAGCAAGCAGCGTAGTACAGAGGGTCAGACAGAGGGATGGTCAGGGTCACAAGCCAGGATCAGAGCAGGAGAAGTCAGCAAAGGAACAGAAATAGGATGCAGGACAGATACAGGGCCCAGGACAAACACAACACCAAGGCAGAGTCTGCAAGTCTGGCCATCCCTTAAATACACCAGTATCATCAGTTCCAGGTGTTAGCTGGCTGAAAGGTTGAGTCTCTGATTGCTGGGAGCACCCGCTGGCCAGCCCTGGTACTGCAGATCAAAAGGCAGGTGAGTCCCACCATTGCTGGCCAGTCCATTCCTAACACTATTATTGTTCAAACAGCAAAATAAGGTAGCCTTTCTTCAGCATAAAGCAAACAAAACAGAAACAGGATTTGGCTCACCACCAGTATAGACCCGTCCCACAACAGGTTGTAGAGTTCCCAGACCAGCAGAGCCAAGCAGAATCTCAACAAAGGGAACCTCACACGAGGTAACCAGAAGTACAACCATCTCTGCAGCACTCCATTAATCAGGCCTGTATGGTAGAGTGGCCAGACGGAAGCCACTCCTCAGTAACAGGCAAATGGCATCCCGCTTGGAGTTTGCCAAAAGGCACCTGAGGGACTCTCAGACCATGAGAAACAAAACTCTCTGGTCTGATGAAACAAAGATTGAACTCTTTGGCTTGAATGCCAAGCGTCATGTCTGGAGGAAACAAGGCACCGCTCACCACCTGGCCAATACCATCCCTACAGTGAAGCATGGTGGTGGCAGCATCATGCTGTGGGGATGTTTTTCAGCAGCAGGAACAGGGAGAATAGTCAATGCAACAATGTACAGAGACATCCTTAATGAAAACCTGTTCCAGAGTGCTCTGGACCTTAGACTGGGGTAACGGTTCATCTTTCAACAGGACAACGACCCTAAGCACACAGCACACATAACAAAGGAGGGGCTACAAGCCAACTCTGTGAATGTCCCAGCCAGAGCCCAGATTGAACATCTCTGGAGAGATCTGAAAATGGCTGTGCACTGACGCTCCCCATCCAACCTGATGGAGCTTGAGAGGTACTGCAAAGAAGAATGGGAGGTATTGCCCAAAAATAGGTGTGCCAAGATTGTAGCATCATACTCAAAACGACTTGAGGCTGTAATTGGTGCTAAAGGTGCTTCAACAAAGTATTGAGCAAAGGCTGTGAACACTTATGTACGTGTTTTTTTTTTTTTTTTTTTTTTTTTTTTCAATAAATTGCAAAGACTTCAAAACAAACTTCTTTCACGCTGTCATTATGGGGTATTGTTTGTAGAATGTTGAGGGAAAAAAAATGTAATCTATTTTGGAATAAGGCTGTAACATAACAAAATGTGGCAAAAGTTATGTGCTGTGAATTCTTTCTGGATGCACTGTAAGTATTGCGTAATCAGGAAACTTGTTTACTCAAGAATAATAAACATACTACACTATAGACATCCCTTTCTCTTTGAGTGTATGTGTTGTTATCCCACCTATGAGAGACTATCCATAATAGGATTGACAGCTGCTTCTTTCCCTTCTTCTTGACAATGATCATTATTGAGGAGTGTGATATGCTCATTGATTATGTGAATCTGGTAAATTGCTAACCTTACCTCACATGGTGGACCACAGGATTTTATTTTTGGGAGGATCATCTGCCACTGGATTTGGGAACACAGTGCACAAAGTTTACGAGGAGTTATTGCATGGACTATTTATGTTATGGGCATATATCTTTTGAATTTTGGTTGATTGCATATTATATTGTAAGGACCATGTACATTTTATTGTCTGATAGTACACATTATTTGGCATTAGAGATTGTATCTATCACAGTCACTAGTATGAGTAGCTCCCTTTATATCATTGCTGAGATACTGTACTTAGATATTGCTGGTACTATGTGCTAGTTCACAGGAACTCATCCATAGTTAGCTTTAATTTTGGTTTTTTAAGCAGGTATCCAAAATTGACAGGTGCCCGTTCCACTTCCGCTGCGATCGCCAAGGCGATTGGAAGTGGAAGTTGTCCTCCCTCCCCGTAGTCCTCTGGGACATGTGACAGGTCCCAGAAGACTATGGGGCCATTGACAAAGCGTAGCAATCTTGCGCATGCGCAGGGGCACCCAGCTGTGAAGCCGCAAGCTGTCACAGCCGGATGCCCACACTGAAGATGCGGGCACTGGGGGGAGAGAAGACGGCTGGTGAAACCAGCGGTTGTGAGGACACCGCTGGACCAAGGGACAGGTAAGTTTTTGTAGCTGATGACTTTTTTTCTTCACGTGGAACTCCTCTTTAAGGTGGGAGCTTACATGCATAAGCGTGTAAAATACTCAGCAGTAATGTATATTTTTGTATTTTAACCTTTTGCCGCCTGGCCAATGGCCATTTGGCAGCTGGCAAAATCCCTCAGCGTTCCAGGTGGATGCCATATGGCGTCCTCCCGGGCATGCGCAGTTTGCGCACCTGCAGAGATCTGTCACCGGCCATGTACCTCGTACACGGCCGATGACAGATCTGAGTATCGGCCCCGTTGCCGGTACCATGTGACCTGCAGTGACCAATCACAGCAGGTCACATAACAGTTGTATACAATGGATGGTTTCATTCATGCCATCCATTGTATACTAGTGTATCTAGCTGTGAATAGTCATAGCGATCACATGCAAAAGCTGGGCCAATCACAGCCCAGCTGTGTCATGCGATTAGCCGTAGCCAAATCACAGCTAAGCACAAAAAAAAAAAAAACCCCTGAATGAATCGATGTCATTCAGGTAAATGTGAGGGACCGCCGAGCGGCACCACTACCACTCCACTGATCAGGCGTGCCCAGAGCGCGGAGTCTAAGCCCCAGGGTACTTGTTCACCAGAGCCCCTGATGGTGGGGATGGACTTGAGTACCCCGGGACCAGGTCGCCACTACTGAGCACACCTGTCAGTGGTAGGGGTGTTCGCCAGGGGCTCCAACCAGGGAGAGCCAGATGTGAGGAGGTCGGGTGACCCCGATGGGATGGATGGATGGCTGAGCAAGTGCGAAGTCAGACGGGCTGAGTTGGTAATGTAGAGGACGGTATGGTACAAGGGAGCGGACAGAGAATCGTCAGGTCACACGCCAGGTCAGCAACAGCAGGTCAGATCTAATGAGGGGCATTCAGAAGAGAGGTCAGGCAAAGCAAGGGTCTGGGCAGGAGAAATCAAAGGTCAAGAGCAATCCGGGTCAAATAACTTACTAGGCACAGGTTCAGATTCGCAGGATACAGGTAGGACCAGAAGGCACTGAATGACAGCTCAGGGACATTTAAATATCCCGCCCTGCGCTGCCATTGGTGCCCAGCGGGCGGCCGCGGCTTCTACTGCGCATGCGCGAACTCGAACGCCGCTGCCGGCCCGGACCTAGTACCCATGTCCCTGCACAGGGCGGTGCACTGCGCCTGCGCCGGGACCATCGCGGCGGGGATCGAGGGGATCCCTGACAGTAAATGCTTGCTTATAGCAAAGTAATTCTTTGCTATAAACAAATTACTATAGTGAAATATGAAAAGAAAGGGGCGTGGTCTGCCGCGGCTGGAAGATGGCCGCATAGAGAGGGAGCTCCCGCCGGCCGGATCCCTCTATATCGCCGCACGACGGAGCGGGGTGAGAGGGAGCTGTCACGTCATGGGGAAGACTGACCGGACCTCATCCGGTGCCCGATCGCGCTCCCCACGGGGCCAGGGTGTGCAGGGGAGACACATAAAGGAGCTCTTCCGCTCCCAGCAGCAAAGGGAAGGGCCGCAGCCATCTTCTTCTCCTGCTGCATCCCCCTCCCCCCCCCCCTCCCTACGGCTGCTGACACAATTAACCCTCCCTGCTCTGACATGCAGGCAGCTCCAGACACAGTGCCTCAGCATGATGTCCCCTCTGCCTCACAATCTCTGTCCCTGAGGGATCTTCAGGCTGTGGCTGCTGACATTAAGGCCACCCTGACAGCCACACTCACTGCAGCATTGGGGGATCTGCATAATGATTTAAGGGCCATGGGTTCACGATTGGACCACGTGGAATCCGCATCCAGGCAAAATGGTTCCGCAATTCTTGATTTACAACATCAGTCAACAATACACGCGTCAACTATCAGAGAGCTCCACAGGCATATTGAGGATTTAGATAACCGTGGCCGCAGGCGTAACATCAGAATCCGCGGTCTCCCAGAATCAGTAGAAAATACCGATATTCCCAAGGCAGCATTGGCCATATTCAATAACCTCCTTGGTCGCCCGCAAGCAACCCCGATTGACATCGAACGTGTGCACAGAGCGATCCGCCCCAGGAGGGGAGATGCAGACCCACCCAGGGATATCGTTTGCTGCCTAGTCAGTTTCCCGCTCAAAGAAGATGTCCTCCGATGTGCTAGAGACAGAGGGCGCCTTTTATATGAGGGGACAGAAATACAACTGTTTCAGGACTTATCTAGCACCACCCTGCGCCAACGTCGCTCCTTACGCCCTCTTCTGGATACGCTCCGATCGCGTAACATTCCGTACAGATGGAGGTTCCCCTTCTGTCTCTCTGTACAAGTTAGTTGGCCGTTCTTACAACCTGCGAACCCCTGAAGAACTGCCCTCTTTCTGTGCCTCCATAGACGTCCCGCTGATTGACCTGCCTGATTGGTTCAGCTCCATGAGATTGCCGCTATCCCAGGATTTGGTAGCCGAGGATAGTGCTATGGATTGGCGCGGTCAGTCTTCTCGTAGAGGGCGGATGGCCCCATTGACCCCTCCGAGACCCCTCATGGGGGACTCCACGACTACCGTCAGTCCGACGGCCTCGCCAGCACACAGGAGGCCAAGACGCGAAACCTAATGGTCCCTGTTCTTCCCTCAACATTGCTACTTTGATGCATACCCTGCTGAGTATTTACGTTCTACTGTTACTGCACACCTTTTTTCATCCACCTGCCCCATATGTTCCAGTTGCGCACTTGCGCTCTCTGATCAATGCTCGTCGGACTCCTACTTTACTACCTTTACTACTTATCCGTCAAGATTGCAGCCTGTGATTCATGGAACTCTGTCACTGCCCTATGCGCAAATAGTGGGCCTCCACAGTTCCTTCATGCCTTACAAGGGGTTGGGAGTTGGCCCCATTCTAGCTGTCTCGTCCTCATACAAGGGGGATC